AAGGGGTGTAAGGGGCAAGATGGGCCAGAGAGAAAGGGAAGAGAGCAACCAGAAAGGAGAGGGAGGGAAGGAGGGAGGGAAGAGAGCAAGGCAAGAAAAAGAGTGGGTCAGCACAAGCAAAGGAGGGAGGAAGGAAGTGGGTTAGTAAAGTAGTGAGAATTGAAGAGGAGAGGGGAACAGGGGTACAAAAGATAAGAGCAGAGAGGGAGGGAAGGACGGAGGGAGGAGGGTGGTAGGGAGAGAGGGAAGGAGGGAAGGAGGGAAGGAGGGAAGGAGGGAAGGAGGAAGGGATAAAAACAGGGAGACGGAGGGATGAAAGGTGGGAATAGAGAAGGCAGGAAGGGAGACAAAGGGGGAGGGAGTGAAGAAGGCAGGCAGGGAGTGAGGGAGTGAATAATGCAGCCAGAGAGTGAGAGGAGTGATGGAGGGAGGGAGGGRAGAACAGATCAAGGAGGCAAAAAGAAGTAGAGAGGGCGAGAGGGAGGAAGCGAGCAAGGATGAAAGAGACGTTGCCAGAAAGAAGGAGACAAGGAGTGGGGGGAAAGGGATTGAGGAAGGAGGGCAGGTGGAGGGGTATGCAGGAGGGGTCGGATGAAGCAGGCAAGATGTGAAAGGGGGAAGGAGGGAACAGATAAAGTGAGGAAGGCATGAACAGAGTGAAAGGAAGACTGCAAATGAAGTCAGTTAATTCACCTGAAAGGACAAGGGAAGAAGGGATGAAGAGAGGAGGGGCGCGAAGGAAAAAAAAGAAATGATGCGAGGTGAAAGGCAGTAAGGAAGGAGACCAAGGACGGATTGCTGCTAGTAGTGGAAAGTGCAGTACGATGCAGTAGTTCACTTCGCAGAGCTAAAACCCTCACCAGGAAGAAGAGGGTTCCTCCAGAAAACAAGTGTAGTATTTAGAGGGATAACGAAGATTCCAGAGTGACCTTACTTGTGATGAAGCAGCACTCCACGTACTCCATCATTCTCCCTGCAAAGAGTGCCCAGTAAGTAACCAAAAAAAAAAAAAGAACAAAAAGAGTGCCGACTGTCCAGTAAGACATTTCATTGCACATGGTCACTCTCATCTCTATCTGAAACAGAGAACAAAGAAAAGCAACCTCTTTCAACCCCATTTTTTTCTTGAAATTGCTGAATCTGACACTCCTTGGTTTATGTGTCCCACAGAGACCATGCTTGTTGCCTCTGCGCACCGGATGTCCAGGATGACCTTTTGAACATCCTCTGCCCTTCTAGCTCCCCCCGAAGAATCAAGCACATGCGGCAGAAGACGGGAATGAATAAGAGAACAAAGCCCTTCAGTGCTGTTGGAGGGGACGTGTATGCTGGGTACTTGCTATTTATGTATTGAGCACATCGGTTCCTCTGGCCATAACGAAGGGAAGTGTATGCTGGGCACTTACTACTTATGTATTGAGATGACTTGCCGGTGGAAAAGGCCCTGGACTGTCGCTCCCCAGAATAGAACGCAGCCAGGTCCATAAGGCCTTGTTTTCTTCAAATGAGTGCACACATTCAGAGTGCAACGAACCTCCCAGTTCAACACCAATCAGTGCACACATTCACACCACTTGCATACATGAGGTCACACGAAGTTCACACTGAAGACCAGAGAGATTAAGACCAGATAGCGCAGCTCAAGAATTCCAACAAGGTATACAAGCGCAATAAGACTTCCAAGTCACCAGTGCTCATTTTCGCATGTCAAAGGTAACCAATATCCAGCTCAAACTCTCAGGTAGTATCTTCTTCCTCCCTGCTCTTCTCTCTCTGTTGTATCACCCCTCCGTGCTGGTCTTCTCCCTAGCTTATGACCTCGCTGTATCTTCTCTCCCTACATGCATAGACATTCATACTAACTTCTACTCAAAGATCTACTCTGAATACACCCACTGTCAACTCTACTAACCCCTCTGGAGTCTACTACTAACAACTAGCACTGACACTTCTGCACTGGCGCAGCTATGGCTGCCTTCTTCCTGCCAGTGCTAACTTCTCCTCACTCCCTCACTTAGCGCAGCACTCTGGCCTCAGCGCTCTGCCCCTCACATTAGCGCACAAGTGCACCAGCACTTCCACACTCTTTGCGAATGAGCAGTCTGCCCGAATGTGAGGCTGGCCAGTCCTTTTGTAGTCTTGGTTTGCACTTCAACTCTTGCCATCCTCTGTTTCTTGGGTCCTGACTGGTTCAGGTACCACATTCCCTCGGCCTGTCTGCTTCTGAATGTCAAGGCCTGGAACCTTCTCGAATTTCCATTGGACTGCTGCTGCTTGGGCCTTTGAGTCATGACTTGTCACTTGTGAACATGACTTTGGACTGTGGATAGTGACTCCTGCCTGTGGGTCACGACTTTTGCCTGTGATACTGCCTTTACTCGAGGGATGCGACTCTTCAATATGATTTTTCATTACGAAACGTGACTCTGCCTTTGAGACATGACTCCTACTTGTGAATCTGCCTTTTCACTCGTGGGGTGTGACTCTTCTGAATGAATGGCTTTTATTATGAGACGTGACTCTTGTCCCTGATATGTGACTGTTTGCTGGGTGCCTGTTAGACCAGACTGCTGAGGTACCCGATTGTGACTTTTCTGAGTTTGACGAACTCGGCCTTTTCTTGACCTGGGCATCTGACCCTGAGATCCGAATTTGGGGTCTGAATCGTGGAAGGCCTTTCAAAAGAAAGAAAGAAAGAAAGAAAGAACAAAGCCCGCAAGGGAGTGATCAAGCCAGAATGGAGAATCTGATGTTTTTTTTCACGAAATAATAAGACCATGTTAAAACTTAAAACATCAAGTCTGATTAAGAGAATTTAAGACCAATTTGAAAACAACTGATTTTCTGTAGCGTTTCCACTCATCTTCAATTCTTCTGGCATATGCACTAAAAACTTAAAAAGTTGGTAAGAACTGGGTTACGCCGACGCCCGGTCCAGACGGACCGGGCCTGACGGACCGGGCCAGATGGACAGGGGGGGGTCCGTCCGGCAAAACCAGATGAGCCAAAAAACGTCCCAGGAATTGTGTTTTTTTTTTTGTTGAAAATGGGGTTGGAGTGCGCTCGCTGAGAGGAGCCCTAATCCGCGGAGAAACTTGTGAAAGACATCTGTGTTGGAGGTGGG